CCTGCTCCTCTGATGCTGCTTGGCCTGCTGTGTTCATCCAGCTCTACGCCTTGTTATCTCTAACAGGAGATAGCGTGTTTTCATAGAATCCCTACAGTGTGGAAACAGGCCCTTTGTCCCAACAAGTCCATACTGACCCTTAGAGCATCCCACCCAGACCCATCCCCCGATAACCCACCTAGTCTACACATCCCTGAACACTACGGGCAATTTAGCATGTCCGATCCACCTACCCTGCACATCTTTGGACTGTGGGAGGAAACCAGAGCACCCAGAGGAAACCCACGCAGACACAGGGAGAATGTGCAAACTCCACACAGAAAGTCCAAGGGTGGAATTGAACTCGGGTCCCTGGCGCTGTGAGGCAGCAGTGCTAACCACTGAGCCACCACGCTGCCCCAATAAATCCTGATTCCCGGACCAGGAATCGAACCTGGGCCGCGGCAGTGAAAGCGCCAAATCCTAACCATTAGACCAACAGTTTTGGGTTTGCAAACCTAGACTGGTTGAGTATGAGCTATTCTCAGTCAATGACCAGTCAGAGAAGGGGAGGCGATGGCCTAGTGGTATTATCACTGGACTGTTAATCCAGAGACCCAGAAAGTATCTGGGGACCTGTGTTCAAATCCCACCATGGCAATAAATATCTAGAATTAAGAATCAAATGAGGACCACAATCCATTGCTGATTGTCAGGAAAAACCTATCTGGTTCGCTAATGTCCTTCCTTTAAGGAAGGAAGCTGCCATCCTTACCTGGTCTGGCCTACATGTGACTTCAGACCCACAGCATTGCAGTTGTCACTTAACTGCCCAGAGGGCAATTAGAGATGGGCAATAAAGGCTGCCTCGCCAGCGATGCCCTCATCCCGTGAATGAATAAAGGGAAAAGAAAAGAGGAACTGGTTTGGTTCAAATCAGCCAGTCATTGGAATGTATGGTGTTTTTCAGTGCAATACAATGTTGCTTAATTGCTCTGTAAGCAAAGTGTCATTTTGGACAGACAGCATCATACTATCACTGGAAAATACACTGTAATCACTGCATAGCAGCAGCGCTTGCTTAACTCATCGGTCAAATTTGAGATAAAGAGTCTTTCCAGGTTAATTTCAGATAGACTAGACAATTTACAGATATGAAAGAGGCCTATTTGTCACTTTGTATGATGCATAGTAAAAATCTGATTAGGATAGCCACTGTCCTGTAGGATAGCTTTAATGCACTGTAATTGCAGTAAGCTTGATAGATAGGGAAAGCTTTGTAGAATGCTTTTAGTAAGCTTATGCAACTATGCATTGCTCAGGTGACCAATCTTAGTATGGGTAGCTGTATATTGACCAAAGGTAGTTTTGCAATAGACCGCAATGGGGAACCTCTCAGCTGGCATGTTAAGAAACCATATTGGATTTCTTCCACCTCAAAAAGTGAACTGCAGCACAGAATGAAGCATATTAAGGCGTATGAGGAAGTCTTTATGTGGGTTGTAGATTCAAAGATGATAAATGCATCATTCATGTATCAGAAATGTGCACAGGGTTTGTTTCCTGTGAAAACGTTAGCAAGCATTGGGCGTCAAGGGAATCCATGTCTACATCAGCACAGATGGCGTTATTGAAATTTGAGAGTTAAGTTCAGAAATGCAATGAATGCAGACTCAGAAAATAGTAGTGTATCCAGATTACAGAGATAGAACAACAAAACACAAACATCAATGGCTTCCTTCAGTGATGCATTCATGAACAAGGTAACAATATCAAACATACACAAACAAACCAAAGCTATTGACATGTGGTTTGCATATAGCTTTAGTAAGGTGAAGACATGAATCCCTCACCCTCTACTTGGAAACTCTCTAAAACCAACTAATTCATTCTACCATCCGGCCAGTTCATGATGCAAAGAACTGGTCATAAATATAGGCACAATGAAATCTCTTGTGTCGTAATCAACCACGCATGTGGACATTAAGAGCTATAGGACAAATCGTATCATGTAATTTGCCTTGCAAATTGTTACTCTTAAACAAATTGAATTTTTTTGTAGAATGCTTTTGAGCACGTTTTTGCAAATATGCTTTCTCCATAGGAACAGCTCAGCTAATTACAGTTAACCATTCACCACCCCTTTTCCCCCGTAGTCTAAATTATCGAGATTTCTAGAATGCCTAATTTCAAACACTTTCCAGAAGGATTGCAAGACAAAAATCCCAATAAGTCTCCCTTTTTAGCAAAATTAAAAATTCTGCATTACCAAATTATTGCTTTCCACTCTTCATGCCATTTTAGATACACAGACTTGAAGGCTACATAAAAGGAATTACACCAGGAGGATTTAACTTTAAATTTCTCTCCAATCTTCTTCTTTAAAAGTTGATTTTTGCTGTACACATATTATGGAACAGTAATGAATAGGAACAGTGTTCAGAGGATCATGGATAAATTCATAATCCTCTACTCAGGGACAGTGGGACTTAAGACAGTCTGAAAGGCTTATTTTTGTCTCCAATGCATATTTTCTACCTAATCTGGAGATATGCTGTACCACTACCACTGGACGGGATCTTGGTGGACTTTGTCTATTCCATCATAGTGCGGTTACAGGGAGTAAGATCTACATTACAAAATGTAACAACTCAACAGGGTTGCTTGGTCTCTTTTTTTCCTTCTGATCACTACTACAAGTAGTGCCAGTACATCAACAATATAAAACAAACAACTGTGGATGGAGGAGATCCGAAACAAAAACAGAAATTGTTGGCGAAGTTTAGCAGATGCAGTAGCATCTGTGGAGAGAAGGCAGAGTTAATATGGAGTCTAATGATTCATCAGAATACCACCATGGGAACACGTGCCCATGTCTCAATCTAGAATTGTGTCCCTTCTTTGTCACCGAGTCAATACAGTGAAATTTACTACTGCCCCGGTGTGAGTACTTTTTCCGTAACAGCTCAAGGAGAAGATGGACCAGCACACTGTCAGGGGAATTAGGAATGGACAAGAAATATCTTTTGCCCAATATCATCCCTACCCAGACAGCAAATACAGGTCAATTCACTCTAATAAAGGAATTGGCAGTTCTACAAAATTGAATTTGATATTTCATATTTCCATCTGATTAACTTCTTTTCTTAAAATAAAGGCTAGAACTATGGAAGCTAACAGGATTCTTTCATAAATAGTTTCTCATCTGAAAATAATGTACAAAACTGAACAGTATCCCAACCTCGTTATTTATATCCAACCCAGGCAGATGAGTTAGCAAGGACTGCAGATGCTGGGGTCAGAGAAAACAAAGTATGGAGCTGAACAAGGATCCCGATCTGAAACGTCAACTTTCCTGTCCCTCTGATGCTGCCTAGCCTGCTGTGTTCCTCTGGCTCCACACTTTGTTATCCCAGGTGGATAAGTATTAGTTTTGCATTCCCAGGGATAGGTATTCATATTGTTAGCACAAAGTTAGCAGAGGATAGTGGTGCCTATAATCACTACTCCAAGTTATCGACTGTGGAAGCAACAGAGGTTTTATAGATTAAATAAACAGTTAAGTTACAAATTAAGCAGAAAATGGATTCTTGTATCATACAAGAAACTGAAGTAAAATAAAGCAAAACATGGGCTTGAAGATAAAGGTTTTTCCACTACACGATGCAGTTCATTTGCTGAAAGCTTTCCATTTCTTACTTTTATTCAACTCAGGATAAAAATAATGTTGAAATAAGACTTACAATTGCATCTTTATCACATTTGAAACGTATGCTTGTAGTCTTATTGCGTATTCCATCAGGACATCGGTCACCATTTTGATAACGTAGAACAAGCAGACCGTGTTCTTCCCACCTTGGCCCTGCAACGACCTCACCAAGGTTTACATATTTGCTGCCATTCTTCAGGCAGACAGCTGCATTTAAAGAGCAGGCCCAGTTACCTATAAAATAATGAAAAACAAGTTATAGCAAACTACTGGCCAAATAAATCCCAAAATAAACAAAACATACAAATCACTAAGTTCAGAATAAAAAAGCTAATTGGAAAAATATCAATGTAGCAATTCTAACTACATAATGCTTAACTGGTTACATATGTGTAAAGAGTTTTGTGGAGAACAGAACAGCCTTCTAATCACCAATTCAGATACACATTTGCATTCTTGACTCATTCTAATCCTTTTCAAATTGCAGTTAAGCAAACCTCTCCTCCTATAAATGTGAAAGCTCAATGTAAAAAGGAATTGCTTTCCAGGATTGCACTTCCGACCAGATTTTGGACAACTTAGATTCCAGAATAATAATGCAGTACTTCACCATAAAGTTGGTGAACAAAGCACAATTGTATAAAACAAAATTGGGGAACTTCTCAAAACGCCAGCAACATATGCCCAGCCATTCCAGATAATCACAATAAAAGATTTTTTTCTAGAAAGAGTATAACTAGTTTATCTATCACCCTGTAACATTTAGCAAGGATGAATTTGATAAAATCTGTTTTAGGGAGTTGCATGATAACCACTAGTCAGTTTAAGTAAGTGAAGAAAAAGTCAGAAAGTAAATAGCAAGACAGGAAGAAAAACACTGCATTTATATCATCTTTTACTGCCAAAATCCTTTAATCAAACGATTACTTTTATGTGTAATTATAACGTAGGAAATGCATGAAAATTTACATGTAGCAAGTTTCCAGAGTTCTGAAAGAAGAAACTAGATACTCTGTTTCAGTGATATTGAATGAGGGATAATTATTGATCAGAACAACAGGAGGAACACTCAATTACAGAATAATAAGACACAGAAGGACAGTATTCAGCCCTGTGTCCTTGACACCTGTTTGAAAGCAATGTCTCCTTCAGTCCTAATCTCCTGCTCTTTGTTCATATAATGGTGCAGAGAAGCAGAATGTATGGAATTAGAGACTTCCCCATTCCTTGCTCCTCATTCAACAGTCTGAAAATTCCAGAAAATCCTATGGCTGCCAAGTTTAACTAATTAATTAATGTATTCACAATGCTTCAATTTAGATTTGACTGGAATTAGTAAGTGAGTTCCAATGGGCAAAGAATAGCACCCCATCAAATGCTACACAGTTAAATACTCATTACTCCCTCAGTGCACTTGCCATTTTTTGGGACTAGTGACTTGCAGATATTGATGTAATACGTCTGGTCAATATCTCGTTGCTGTTCTATCTCCCAGCTGTCTTGGGATCGTGATAAAGGAGTAAGGTCATAGGAATTCCCATCTTCATCCCTGAAAAAGAAAAAAAATTGCACTTCAATCTTGAATTGGTTTTTACTGTGTATGTTGCCAAACTACCCATAACTGTAATCAACACCAGGCTTTTGAACAATTAACCTTTTGAAGTTTCACATCACAGTACAATCAAGCAGATTTGTAAGGAAACTGAAACATGAATGTGATGATTGCATTGTTAGAATTAATTCCTATGCACTCAAGAAATTTCAAATCTTGAAAAAAAGATAACTGTGTCATGACAATTGTTCTTCTAATTGGGCACAGGATCACATTTAATTCTTGGGTCACAGTTGTTATTACCAGAACAAGTATTACTGTACAACATAGCACAACATAGCCACAACTTGGTTCTGCTCTCAGTGCACTAAATTTTGTTGAATGAAACTGAACACCGATAGCTACTTTTTGTTAAAGTTTATAATAAAGCTAAATGTACCTTAATGTGCAATCAATGGATCTGAATGGTGGACAAGCATATGATGTATGCCATTCAAACAGGTACGTACAGTCTAGAGTTTCCCTCAAATAAACTGGCTTGCCCTGTGGGGGAGAACAACATTTAATACTTCCATATATTGCTGTTTTAAGCAGAAATTATCACCGAGGTTTGCATTTTTAACGTAGTTAATTCACTATCCTGGTAGCTTCATTAAGGAAGAGGAGACCATTAGTATCTTCACTAAAAACAAAGTGCACATTTGTACAAAGCATTTATAAAAGAAAACTAATTGGATGGCACTGACTATTTCAAGATTTGAATCAATCCATAGGCCATTTGCAAGCAGCATTTTACCACTTTTGCTGAGACCACCTCTCAGGCTGTTATATCATGACATAAATTGAACCTGCTAATGGAACAGGAAAGTTCCTGAAGGAGGGGCAAAGGTATAGGAAGAAACAAACTTCAGTTGTACCGGTTGATTCATTACAGAATCAGAGATCAAATGCCCGATGGACTTTGCTTTGAGATGAGTTAGCCGATCAAGCAAATTTACCATTCCTGATGAGCTTTCAAGTGTTTTTTCCTCCTTATTCATTCACTGGATGAGGGTGGCGCTGGCTAGGTCAGCATTTATTGCCCATTACTAATTACCTAGAGGGAAGTATGAGTCAACTACATTGCTGACAGTCTGGAGTCATATGTAGGGCAGACCAGGTAAGGATGACAGTTTCCTTCCCTAAAAGACATTAGTGAACCAGATGCGTTTTTCCGACATTCGGCAATGGATTCACGGTCATTAGGCTCTTAATTCCAGATATTTAATTGAATTCAAATTCCACCATCTGCCATGGCGGGATTTGAACCCAGGTCCCCAGAACATTACCTGGGTCTCTGGATTAACAGTCCACCAATACTACTAGGCCATTGCCTCCTCTACATTCAAAGACATTATTATTATTGTCATCAGGCTCTGAAGGGATAGGATTCTGTTATGGCACTTGGTCTGCTCTCAGTACACATACACTATTTTATGCAAATGTTTGCTCAATAGCATAACTATATTTAGGAACTGCAAGGCTACCAAGCCAAACTAAAAACTTTCCTCCCTTCTCAAAATATCCTACTGCTACCTTCACCATATTCTTCATTGTCTTTGCTGAAACACACCCAATTGTTTCAAATCTACTTAGGGTGTCAATTTAACAGCCTTTGCTCTCAATCTATAGTTTGCTTTTGGACAAGCATTTCCACACTTTAAAAACTTTTCTTTTCCCCCCTCATGGTCTGGAACAATTCAAATGTTATTCACAAATGCTAAATAAATGATAATAGGTCTGATACATAGCATATTATCATAAATTTGCTTAACTTTAATTTCAAGCAATAATCTTTTATACTATATATTTATTCCACAATTTATTACATGCTTTCATTTGCTATTATTTTTGTGTATTAATATATGTAAGATTATGCTGAGAGCAGGGACATTAACAGCATTTTTACTTTGGTGGTGTGAAAAATTTCAGAAAGTATACAACAGTGGATGGAATTTAGCATGCACAGGAATGGTTAAGGTGATGGTGGGTGTGGAATAGAAGTAAGGCACGGGAGGTGAAGCAACTTAGAATTGTTCAACACTCCACTGACTCTCAGTCAAGTACAGATACAGGGGCAATGAAAGTCCTTTTAAAAACTCTTCCAAATGCCATTGGATCAGAGGCTAGATGTTTTCAGACTGTTGATTTGCCAGCAGAACTGGCTTGTGTCACTCAACAGTGACAAATGTTCATTTAATTGGAAAGAGGATCTAGGTTTTCCTTTCCCTAGGTAAAGGTTAGTCAGAGGTCAAATATACAAAATACCTTGCACTTGCAAAAATGGCATTTATCAAAACTTATTCATTGCTCCACACAACAAATTCCCTATCATTTAGGATACTTCAATGCCATCCCAGCTGGTACGAGCAGAGAGAGCTTATACATGGGAACTTATCAATCTATAAGCTCAACATTGTACTTACTGTAATACTTAGTTAGCCACAGTTAAATTTTCAAGCAAGGCAAAAAGAGAGCAGCAAGAGCTTTGCAAGTATATACCTAAAGTGCAGGAAAAAGTACAGAATCTACACTGGTGCATGTTTTGAAAACACTTGCATTTAGAAGTGTTAATCTGACCTCAGGTGAACGTAAAAGAGTAGACAGATGCATTCTGAAGAAAATGGGAATCCTCTTATGTTCTAGCTAATATTAATGCCTCAAATAACATCATAAATGGATCTCATTGATATATATGGGATATTATTGTATACAAATTGATTTCTATATTTATGACAAAGACTACACTTCAAAAATACAAAATTAGCTATAAAATACTTGGAAGCCCGGAGGTTAATGAAAAGACTGGCAGCACAGTGGAGTACTTTCATCTCCCCACACTTGGAAAGCTTTATTAGCACTCTAAGCAGGTGTTCAAACACCAGTATCATAAGGGAATTGTAAAGGTTACACAATGTAAAGAATAAATCGAGATTTTTATACATCGTTGAAAAAATGGTCCAAATGTTAAGCTTATTATAAATGAAGAGTTTAGTTGCAGATATTTACTTCATTATGCGCTTAATGTTAAGTGCTGTTCTTTTTAATAAAAACAGCAACCATTAGACAAACATAACCAGCAATTTCCAGTTAGGTCAATTAAGTGAATTCAATAAGCCAAGTAACTGGGAGAGAAGTTTGGCTGGAGCACGATCATTTGCCATCTTTGCCAACTCAACTGTACACTCACTAATGCATCCATTTAATAGCACTTTTAAATTTTCAGGAAGAGTAAACTAATTGTAATACACCATCTTATTTGGTGTAGTTTCATAAATTATAGATATATAAATTACCAAGTTTTGAACTGAAGCAACCAAAAGGATCCCATCTTGTCATACTATGTTTGAAATAAATCATCCTGAACATGCTAAAATTTATATTCATATTTTCATTTATACAGCTTTTCAAACTGAATGCTGCGCTTCTCAAGAGTTGTTCGTGCTGTGGAGCAAAGAATTTATCCATTTTGGGCACCCAGTGTATGCATCAAGTTCTAATCTAGGTGATTTGTGTGCATTTAAGGACTATCTACTCTTCTCCCAACTATGTAACTCAGGACAGGCAATCGTCTAACGGTATTCTCACTAGACTACTAACCCAAGTAATGCGCAAAATTCTCCTTACCGATATCTGGGGGCTAGTGCCCAAAGTGAAAGAGTTGCCTCACACAAGTCAAACAACAGCCCAATAGTGTTAAACTCAAGGAATCACACGTCACAAATAACACGCCAGACACTGCCACTACTATCCCTGGTTACGACCTGTTCTTTTGACATCAGACTTAAGTCGTATACAGTTCAAAGGGAGTTGCTGTTGAGTCATCAATATTGACCCTCTGGACACCAAATGACATGGCATCAGGTCAAACATGGGCAAGGAAATCCCCTGCTCACTGCCATGTGATTCCACCCTTCAGCTGATGAATCAGTGCTCCATGTTGAACAGCATTTGGAGGAAGGGTGGTAGGGTGTAGAATGCATTCTGGATGGTGGTTAGATGTTGAAGTCCCCCAAGAGGAGCTAGAAAACACCATTATTAACTACGTTGGCCAAGTCCTGAAGGACAATGCTGCTCCTGGGTGCACAGGTGGTGACGGTATCTGTGAGAAAAGACGTACTTGACCTATTTCTCACCATTCTTACTTCTGCAAATGTATCTGTCCATGGCAAAATCAGTTGGAGTGACTACTGTAGTCTGTTTGGAGACAAAGTCTATTTTCATATTGAGGAAACTTTCAATGTGTTCTGCGAAACTACCACAAAATTACAGAAGATAAACTTAAAAATGACATTGCAACTCAAGACTAGGCATTCACAAAGCATTGCAGGCCATCAGCAGCAGAATTGTACTCCAAAATAACCTCATGGCACAGTATATCACCCACTCTATCATTACAATCAAGCCAGGGGATCAATGCTGGTTCAATAAAGAGTCCGAGAGAGCATGCCAGCAGCAAGAACAGGCAAATCAAAAATGATGTGTCAATCTGGTGATGTTACAATATAGGCCTACTTGTGTCAAACAGAGCAAGCAGCAAGTGATAAACAGATCAAAATGTTTTCACAACCAAACAGATCAGATTCGAGCTCTGCAGTCTGACCAGATCCAATAGTGAATGGTGGCGGATAATTAAAAATTCCCTGGAGGTGCCACAAACATCCCCATCCCCAAATGGGGAGGGAACCCAGTACATTTTCAAACAAAATAAGTCTGAAGCATTCGCACCAACCTTTGGCCAAAAGTGCCAAGTGGATGATACATCTTGGCATTTTCCAGAGGTCCTCAGTATCACTGATACCAAACTTCAGCCAATTCGATTCACACAGGATATCACAAAAAAACTGAAGATACTGTATTCTGCAAAAGCTATGGCCCCTGACAACGTTCCAGCAATAGTACTGAAAATTTGTACTCCACAATTTGCCACACCCCAAGCCAAATTGTTCCAGTATATCTACAATACTGGCACCTACTTGACAATGCAGAAATTAGTCCATGTGTCCCCTAACCTGAACTGGCCAATTATCATCCAAAATTTGAGTCTTGATCATCGCAAAGTGATGGAATGGGCCATCGACAATGCTATCAAGCAACACTTGCAGAGCAATAACCAGCTCACTGATGCAGTTTGGGTTCTGCCAAGGCCACTCAGCTCCTTAATTCATTACGGCCTTAGTTCACATATGGACAAAAGATCTGAATTCCAGTGGTGAGGAGAGAGTGACAGCTCTTAACCTTGATGCTATATTTGACAATGTTGCATCAAGGAACCCTAGCAAGACTGGTATCAATGGGAATCAGAAGGAAAACCCTTTGCTGGATGAAGTCAACGCTGGCTCATCCGCAAATAGTTGTGGAGGCCAGTCATCTCAGCTCCAGGACATCTTTGCAGGAGTTCCTCAGGGTAGTATCCTAACCTGAACGATCGGAGTCTCGAGTCACTTCATCAATGACCTACACTCCATTATATGGTCAGAAGAGGGGATGCTTGCTGATGATCA